ACGATTCCGGGCCAAAGTACTGCTCCACACAAGTCGCACACTTAAATCCGAATCCACGTCACCAAAAGCGAAGTCCGTCGACATCTGGGTATACGCCTCCGACGTATACTTTCGAAAGTGGCTTTTTCGAGTTGGGGGGCGATTAGGTGCCGATTGGACGCAGTTTAGGCGCCTGTCGGGTTCTGGATGGGCGTTAATGGGGGTGTGTGTGCAGGAGGCTCGTCTCAGATTAGTCAGCAACGCGTGCCTTTCCAAAACTGACACAGATGGATTATTTTTTTTGATTTTTTGTAAAAGGTACATGCAGCGAACAAGCGACATGTAAACAGCAAAAAGTGTATACGGTTACAGTATTCTGCGTGAATAGTGAACGGGTCATGAACGCATAAACTACCACAAAGAATACTTTCACCTTATCACCACGACAAGAAGGAGATGTGCAAAGGTATTGAGCTAAGCTTGAATCCACCGGAGGTACAAGCAAAAAATCCAGTACATTTCAACATTTGAAATTGGCGCGCTTTTGGTGCCTTGCACATGTATGTAATAAATGCATACTATGCGCATGCAGTTTAACGGACCTTCACATCCCGCCGTTACTAAGCTACCAAATCATCCATGCCCCGCAATCCTACGAGGCGGCTACGCCTTACCTGGGCCGAGAAGGTGGTCACTCTCTCGTACTATGTCCCACAAGGCAATCGCTGAATGGGCCGTAAACGAGTTCTGTCTTCCAAATACTCCCGGCAAAGCCACCGTGTGTTGTATTTTCAAGTCGTCAGCTACACTACTGAAGCAACCAGTGGAGAAGGCTACTCTATTATAATAAAGTGATGCATGCATTAAATCGCTTAGGAGAAGGACACGCCGAGCCTTATAAAGTTGATTTACTTACTGCATTGATGTGGTGAGAGGGTGCGTGGTCGAAGGTGAGCGCGACAACCATTCAAACATTCGGATTTAGTTAACAAAGCGAGCATTAATTACTTGCTTTGTTAGCTTATATCAACACAGGCTGTTTTTCGCTCCAAACTGCTTTGAGCAACGTACTACAGACTGGCATATATATCAGGCGTTCACAGAATACTGTACTGTGCTGGCCAAAAATATGTAGCCATCACTATTTCTCAATTATTTGCATCAATTTTCTGTGAATTACCATAAAACCGCGTAGAAACGCTATTTAGACAAAATGCTACCCGTTTATACTCCCAGATGGAGACCATCACTCTGACCCTGGAAGTATAGTGTAGCCCACGGTATTTGCGTTGACATACGAGTTAACACCTTGGTTCCGGACGGTACTCGCCTAGGACGCGTAAGCGTATGTCGTAAGTTACACCATTGCGAAGAGCTTGGTATTTGTATTGGCCATGTGTTTGCCTTGAGGATTTGAATATAACTTTTCAACAGGTTTCCTAGCCAATGTCGTAACTCATACGGCATTGTGAGACTGCAGTCGACTCTCTAAGTCGTAACTATCTACAAATGTCAATAACAGGTGGCTGTGCTGATGCCGCTCATTTCAGAAAACGCAAGGAAGAAGGTACATCAGTTCAAGAAACTTAGCATTCAACCACACAAACCTAGCGACTCAACAATTGACTACACATTCAATCCGCCCACGTCGGTCCGAGTAGTGGCGTCGTCACCGGGGTTTCTGCCGTCAACGCCTCGGTCACAATGAAGCCGGAGCTCCCGCCGTGTTCTTCCAGCTCTCTGACCGGGCCGACGCAGCACAACTCGCTTCCCTAAGTCCGGCGGAATCGCTTGGCCTGCTTGGAAGTCGTCATGCCAGATTTCAAAACATGTTTTCGCAACACTCTTGTAGTCGCGACGAATCCGGTTGCACAGCCAGCACTTCGCGCTGTCGACAGAACAGCGTTCGCAAAAGTACAACGTCGCGTACGACTTCTTTTTATCTGTCCGCAAGAGTGCACATACCTTGCAGGACCGCTGGCGTCGCTTCTGGACGCCGCTGACTGTAACCCAGTCTTCGGACTGCTGCAGCGAATGTGATAGCCGGACCGGTGCGCGCCGTCGCTACTGGCTGGAGGAGGATGGTGTTAGTTGTACTCCAGCAAAAACTTCGGCCTACACTTGAAGGAGCTGGTTCTGGAGAACTGCACTCCGAGCGTTTCATCGCGACCGTCCGTTTCATTTTAGCAGCCTCTTTGTGTGACAAGAACGCATTTACCAGCGCTAGGTCGAGAAAGCCTAAAAATAGGCTTTTATAGTACTTTGAGAACCGCGTGGACATCTGTAGTGAGTACGATTGCAGGCGGAGTTGATCATGACGATCTACTCCGCCCATCCAGTTCTGGTAGTCGTGCACAGCTGCCGGACAACCGACCTGAATTGCACCGACTCGCTTCAACTTTCCCTCGATTGTGGAAGGTGTCATTACGGAGCCTGTACACAGGTAGTAAATAGGTTTTCGATCCCACCAGATGTGGGAGACCATGCTCGGGACGGCGACCGAACGCGAAAAGGCGAAAGAGCCACGGGGGATGCCAGCTGGACGAGTCTTGCTCTTAGACACTATGCTCTTGTTGAACCCCAAACGGTTCGTCATAATTGTCCCCACCACGTAGTTTGCATAGCTAGGAGCTCAACCGCAAGGAGAGTTGACGAGTAATACCGGTCGATGACGACAGCATGCCACGGGCGCCGCAACTCTGGAGTTAGCGCAAAATTCAAGTTCCGGACGACGGCCGCTGCTCCCGTTTTGAAGTCAACGCCAGTGTCTCTTCCATCAATATTATTCCGCTTCCCAACATAAACTTCAAATCTACAAAGTTACGACATACATTGTAATTAGGATCTGCCACAACGGGTAAGTTACGACAATGAAAATAAGACAAACAAAATAACCTGTGACAGAACGGTCACAGGTTATTTCGGTCTTTGCGTCACATAGCATAAAGAGTTTTGAGCCGTATCGGTGAGGCTTGTCAGACATGAAGATGCGGGTGGTGTTGCGCCTCGACGTTGCAGGCAGCACGCCTTCGTCGAACGAGAATATGGCAGGGAGAGACCAGCCAGCTAAGAAACGCTGTTGGAGCTTGTCCACCACTGGGCGCACCTTCCACAGCTTGTCGCGGCCGTGGTCCACTGTGTTATCTACAAAGTGAAGATCCCTCATGATTGATTGACATCTGTCGCGGCCCATGTAACGCCCAAACAGCCCAGCAGGTATTGCCCCATCTTCGATCATAGACCAATGCGCGGCGAAGCGTCTCTTCTGGGTACAAAGCATCCGAGCGACAAGAAGCCCGACGACATGAAGGATTTCGTGGGCACTGTATGCTTGAGCTGCCTTCAATCGCCTGGCAATTTGTGCGACGGTCTCACGCCGGCGCCCGGACTGGCGTGCAAACATTTTTTCTGCTCGCTTGTCCACTTGCTGAAGTCCATAACGATTCGTCTCAGTAGCGATAGAAACCTATAGCGTTTTTGGCATGAAGTAGAAAGAGTGAGGATTGGCGAGCGCCAAACGTCAAGCAGCTCGCCCACAGGTCTAGCTTCCTCCTGACCCAGTCCGGGATAAGCATTAGTATCCGTTTCGTACTCCGTCGAAACCGGTGTCCATTGCATAGATCGAAGAGTGTCCTTGCGAGCCTCCTCAGCCGCTTTGCTCAGTGTAGTGCTGCCAACATTAAGTGATGCCAGGAAAGATTCATCCATGGCGACAGCATCACTGTCTGAAAGAACGTCTTCATCTTCGTCTATCACGTCACCTTCGGAAGCACAGTCGTCATCACAGATGCCGGCACCATCGCTCTCGTCTGAGCTATAGTCCTCGTACTCACTGCTGTTCTCCCCATCCTTCAACACGCTCACGTCATCCGTGGCTGTCAGCGGTACTCGAGCTAGTCGTTGTGCAACGATGAGGGTATTGGTGAGTCCAGTGCATTCGTCTTCCCCTTCGCTCTCCATTCCCGACGCCTCAGATAACATGTGCAAACTTGTGGCAGCCTTTCTTCTTTTCTGTTCGGCTTCTAAATCACTCGGGGAGAGATCAAATGCTCTCATTACCGCAGCCTGCGAAAGCTCAACCTCCGATTCACTGGAGGATCCGAACATCTGGTCGATAGTATTTTGTGATAGCAGAGCACCTGTATCAATTCTTTTGACTTCCTCTGGGGCTTGATCATCTCTACCCCCCTGACCATCTTTACCAGCATCCGCTACCGCGTCTTCCTCAGCCAACAATCCCGACTGGAAGGCGTAATCGACAGCCGCACGCTCACCTATGAAGACGTGAGCTCTCTGCGGACTTGTGTATGTCCACTCTGTCTGCAGTCCTCTCGGCCGCTTGGACGTCCACCCCACCGGTGGGCTACGGTAAGCGAAACCTGGGCTAACTTTCGTACGACATTCAGGGTATTGTGAACAATGCTGTTAAGTTAACTGTAGCGTTAATTAACTGTGTAGCGCTAGATTTTGTTGTCGGCTACAGAACACCAGTGCAAGACTACAACAACCGTGCTTTGTACTTAAGTACTTGCTTTTATTGGAGTACCTATTGGTCAAGTGATAAGATCCCGGTTGCGTTACTGATGCTGAGGGCACTGACGAAGTACGAAATTGACAAATATTTAAACACAATTGTAAGTATCGCGAAAATTTTCTGGCCATGAGCATGCATGGGACCGTGCATTTGCCGCGATGAGCGCTTGCAGCTGGAGGCTGAGAACGCGAGACATATAGTAACTTTAGTAAGATACGAGACACGAGCGGTTAAGCAAGCGCAGGACCTTCGGCCAAAACGTGTGCAGAACTGAGAAAGCGGTCAGCGTCTTACAGCAATCAGCACAACAGTGTACTCAGTTACGAGCAAGCGCATACTACGTAGTAATTTTTAACCACCAATCTCCACTTCGATCGCGAAGATTTGGTTTTTAAACGTGTGGTAAGTTAAGTAGATACAGTAGTCATTCAGTATTAGACGAGGGTATGCAAAATCACAACTATAACTCAGCAGTTATTGTTGTGAGTCAGCAGTATCCGCCGCAGTAGCCATCGTTGCCTGGAACAACCGCTGGGCCGACCTTCACCTCGATAACACGCAACAGACCGTTTTTTCGGGCCGCCTCGGGGCCGTCCTTCCATATGAGGTGGTCGTACGACGTGGCCGCCTCCATGAAGAAGAGCTGATTTTTGCCATCGGAGTCCGTGCCCAACTGACAAGCAAACACCGAGTTCTTGATGCCGTTGGCACCGAAGCCGATCACGTCCAGTATTTCACCTCCTTCCTTGACGCGGACGAGACCACCACCAGTCTGATACAGCCCAGACTGCACGATGCTAGCCCACACGCAGCTCTCTGCGTCCAAGCAGATACCGTCCACTAGGGAGCCAACGTCAGCCCACAGCCTACCGTTCGAGAGTGTGCCATCCTCTCCAATGTCGTACGCCGTCAATCGTCCTTCGAACGTCTCCCCTACAATTAGAGTCCTCCCGTCAGGGGTTATCACTATTCCATTCGGAAACACCACACCCGTCGCCTCCACGCGGACTGCGCCGTCAGTACCGATACTGACGATCGTGGAGCTCGCGATCGACATAATGTCAGAGTGGTGAAATCCAAAGCTTCCGAGATACGCGCGTCCGGACGTGGAAACGACCATATCATTAGCGCGTACCTGGGTCACGTCTTTCACGTCAGCATAAAGCTTGGTCGCATTGGTCTCCTCGTCATGGACGATAACCTGGCGCTTATTCATCGATGAGATCAGCAAACGGCCATCCGGCAGCCACCCCAACCCAGACAGCATATCCTCCGGATCCTCGTATACAAGCGTTCTTACGCCCGTTAAAAGCGAGTACTTGATAACTTTTTTGTCGTGCATGTCCGTGAAATAAAGCTCGCTCGTTGAAATTCGGAAGCGCGGACCTTCACCATAGACGATGTCGTCTAGCAGTGTCCGCGCTTGCGAAGCGTGCGGATCATTCGACCATAATTTGCGACCCAGCCAGTATCCGAGAAATCGGAATGGGAACACCAGCATGCGGATATTTGGAAATGTCTTGGGGAAGAGCTCCTGTTGCTGATCAAAGTCGGGGTCCTGCTCACTCATCGGTGTGTGCTCCAGCTCGGGCCGAGTCGGTGCGGTGGTTGGCATGATAAATGTTTATGTTTAATGACTTGGGCTCCCTCTCGCCTAGACAAATCACGAAATGAGAAGAGGGTCTGCTTGACCATGGCATGTTTATCACAGCTTTTTCAACGATGTTGAAGTTTATCATGCACTTCAACATGAAAATGTTGACGTGAACGTTCTGCAGCTGCTAGCAATACCTGGACGGTCCAGGCTGGGAGTCCACTGCTCTGCAGAAGCCATCGCTCTCTGGGATTCGCGCTGACCCGATTGTGACTATCATAGTCTTCACTTATCCGTTCTGCTTATAATAGCTGCGTCCGTGCTATCACGTGGTTGTATAATACCATGGCTACCAAAATTCAGCTTTGGTGATTCCGTTTTCCAATATCTCCATATACGGACTAGACCGATACATACTGGTTGCACGATACTTGACCATTTGCAGCCTTCAGCATTGAGTCAAATGACATCGATGGGAGGGCACAAATCCGCACTCAACTGTGCTTTCCGTCTTCGTCAAAACCGCTAAATACTTCAAAGAAAACCACGACAAAGAGAAAATGCATTTGCTTGGGAGCATTTTTATTAAAACAGTACAAATTTTTAAGATGCATTATTGTGCTTTCAATTTTGTCGTTCTCACTTAGCTACGCCGATTTATGATAAAATGAGGTATTTAATTAATAAATATGATTTATTAATATTACTAACCCGCTCACTTTTTTTCGAGATTCAACTCACTACTAATATGAATATTACAATACTAATAGTAGCTGGTGGTACTGTAAACCAAAACGGAGTAAAGTAACCGTCTAAATTTCAGGAATAATTTAACAAAAATGGTTTTTTTAGCAATGTAGATTCAGTCTACCGCGGGCGCGCTGCGGATTGGGGTACACCAAAAAATGAAAGTGGGCGTAAATACTGCGTATGGGCGCATAAACACGAGAGTGTGGGTGCGCATAGTGACCCACAGCTTGTATTGTAATCCGCCCAACTCCAATTACATAAGTAGGTAGATATTTCTTAAGTTATTACATAAGTAGGTAAAGTGGCACACGCGCGTGCCAAGGTGTCATCATCAGATTGGTTAATAGTGAGGAGCCAGACTCACTTATTGACCAATCAGGTGTAGACATGTGTATGAGTGGTTCACACGAGGCCAGGGGTAGCCGCCCTGGTCCTAAAGAAATCAGAGTTGAATTTGACACAAACCTAAGACTTGGTTTTACTATTGCAAGCTTCCTCCACACTATAGTGTAAGCTAGTGACGGTATCTCTTACCCCGTTACACCTGGTAGCACTTTGTAGTCCTTCCAACGACCAAGTCTACGATGATCCAAGGCCAGATCTCCGGGGCGACCCTGGAGCATGCTGTATTCCACAATCTTACTCGCGTGGAGTAAGAAGCGCTTCACCGCCTCGTGGCGGTGTCCGGAGATGCCGTTGTCGCATCGATGCTGAGGTGAGCGACGCCCGACCAGCAACGTCTTGCAGCACAAGAATTCATGGAGCGCGAGCTCGCCGATGCGAATCGGCGGGTGACAACTCCCTCGCGTTCATCCCAGAATGACTTCGTCAAGATGGAGACGTCTACGTATTCTGGTGCCGGTGAAAACCGGCTCATGCTAAACCGGTGGTTCCGCGAGATCGACATCGCTATCGCCTCGCGACGCATCGAGGCGTCATCCGCCAAGATGAACTTCCTCCTCTCCCGGTTGACCGGGAAGGCCAAAGAATGGGCCCTTTGCGAAGCTGGGCTGTCGACCCCGAGGCTTTCCCGACTCTGGAAACTCTCAGAGCGACTTGCGCCTCGCGTTCGAGCCCCCGCAAGATGAGTCTCGCGTTCGCGCAGAGCTCTTCGCTCTTCGGCAAGGGAAAATCTCCATGCGTGATTACGTCCAGAAGACGCGACAACTGGCGTCATGCATCGTGACCAAGCCAATCGACATGGCCTTGCAAGTCCACGTATTCGTGTTCGGCATGCGCGAGGGTATGATCCGCTACTGCCTCACCAGTGCTGATCCCTCCTCTCTCGAGGAGGCATTTGCACGCGCGATTCGCGAGGATTACATAATCGCTGCATCGTACGTCGCAGCCATACCTGCGGAAGCCCGAGAGTCTACTCCCGAGCCCATGGAGATCGACGCCATCAACGCGTCGAGCGAGCGACGCCGCGGGTCCTACCGCGGTAGCGCTGCGCGAAGCAATCGCTCCCTCATTTGCTTCCGCTGTGGGAAGAAAGATCACCGCGCGGAGGAGTGCCGCGCGCCAGCTCCCGTCTTCGCTCACGCCGATGCGGAACATTCCTCGGTCGCTCATTCAAAAAACGACCAGGACCAGTAGGTGCGGGGCGCCCTACTGGCTTTAACGAAGGACCGGGCCCTCCGGTGGCAGCCCAACCTTCGAGCCCTCCCGTGCTCCAAGCACACACCAATGCCACCACTACGCCGGGCGACTCGAGACTGATCATCGTCCTCCCCCACGTCACCGGTGCCCGGCGACCACTGCGCGCGCTCCTTGACTCAAAAAGCGACCAACAACCTTTTTTGCGCGGGGTGTTTGTCGGTACTACCCAAGAACGTCCGCGTCCTGAAGGGTCCGGGCGAGATCTAAGTCAAACTCGCAGATGGTAAGGCTCGCCGCGTTGTGCGGCGTGACGTGTCCTTGTCGTACACGTTCGACGGCTTCCGTAGCAAGGACGACTTCTTGGTGATCGAGATGAACTATGCGTTTGACTGCATCCTGGGCATTCCTTGACTTGCGCGATATCAGCCAGAAATTTACTGGCTGGCCATTTCGGTCAAGCGTCGACGTGGATTCGACGTGAGCGAGGTCTTCACACACCTCTTGGTGGCGCCAAGAGACTGGCCCCACGTCACAGTCGTGAACAAAACAGCAACGGCGCAGGTAGTGCACAGAGCGAGCGATGGCCCTCCCTGCATGGCTTGTGCTACGTTGTTGGACGAAGAGCCCTCGCGGTGTCGCGAGGTAGATGATGAAGTGGTCGAGCAGAGGCTCCCACAGTACAAGACGGTGGTCGAGCAGGGGCTTCCACAACACGAGATGGTGGTCGAGCAGGGGCTCCCACAACACGAGACGGTGGTCGAGCTGGGTCTCCCACACAACGAGACGGCGGTAGAGCAGAGGTTCCCGCCAAACGATTCGGCGGTCGAGCAGATTAGGCTCCCGTCAAACGATGCTGCGGCTGAGCAGGGGCCCCCGCGTGTTCCCGGCCCGGTCGAGTACGGTCTCCCGCGCCTAGAGGAAGGTGATGCATCGTCAAGTAGCAGTGAGTCAGACTCGAGCGTGAGCTCGAGGAAGCCGAAGAAGAAGTCGAAGAGACGACGCCTGAAACTTCGTCAAGACTCCACGACCAGCGATAGCCCGCCGATGGAATCGGTCAGCGCGCTCGAGTACGTGGAAGGAGGCCCGAGTCGGTCGCGCACTATAGCAGTCGCGAGTTTGCCGCGCGAAGCGGCGGCGATCACACGCCTTCCAGGCTTAATATGGAAGAACTTTCTTCTGGACCTCAAAGCTGGAGACGTCGAGCAAGTATGCTAGGTCACCGAGGCAGTCTCGGTGGATGAGTCAGCAAATGTAGTCGCAACGGATAGTGAACGTTCACGTCCGCTAGGTGCTGAGCCTAAGTCTGCTCGAGAGAAACGATTCCAAACGCAGTCCTGGGAGGCCTTGCGGGAGTCAGAGAATCCCGTATACGACACCGCCTGCGAGTACGCCGACGTCTTCCCGGATGAGATCCCCGCCGAGCTACCGGCGGATCGTGAAGTTCAGCACGAGATTGACCTCGCGCCAGGTACGAAGTACTGCGTCGCCAGATAATGGCCACTTCCCCGTGATCAAGTGAAAGCGATCGATGATTTCTTCGAGGGCCGCCGAAAGGCGGGTCACGTGCGCGAGAGTACCTCTCCGCATTCCAGTCCAACGTTCTGTGTGAAGAAAGCTACAGGGGTATGGCGCATTGCTCACGCATTCAACAAATTGAATGATTCCACCATCCCCGCGCAGACTCCGAAACCTCGGAAGGACATAGTACTGGACTCCATGGCGGGCAGCATCTTCTACAGCGCCATCGACCTGACCGATGGATTCTATCAGATCCTGATGAGAGCATGTGATGTGCCTCTCACCGCCGTAAGTACACCGAGCGGGATGCTCTAGGAGTGGCTCGTGATGCCACAGGGTCTGAAGAACGCGCCTGCCACCTTCACGCATGGTCTCCCATGTGCTTCGTCCGCTCCGAGACTTCGCGCCGAGTTATTTCGACGACATCTTCGTGCACAGCCGCGCTGAGGGCAACCTCAGTGCCGTGGAAGTACATCTGAAACACCTGAGGCAAGTCTTCCAGGTGATGCGAGAGAACAAGCTCTACGCAAACCTGAAGAAATGTGTCTTCTGTGCACCGGAAATTCCGGTGTTGGGATGCTACGTGAGCAAGAACGGTGTGCACGCGGATCCCGAGAGGATATCGTCTATCTGTGCTTGGTCAACGCCGACAAGCCCCACTGAGTTGCGTCAGTGGCTTGGCATGGCCAATTACTTGCACAAGTACACGAAGAATTTCGCTGGGTTGATCCCGCCGCTGTCCTCGCTGCTGAAGAAGGACCTGATCGGGGAGTGGAAATCGGACCACCAAGCTGCATTCGACTCGGTGAACAAGAGCTTGGCGTCTGCGTCGATTCTGAAGCTTGCTGAGGACTCAAAGCCATTTCACGTCGTCTGCGACGCGAGCGATTTTGCCATCGGCTGTTTGCTGATGCAGTTCGATGATGACGAACACGAACGCGTTATCAGCTATCAGTCGCGACAGCTGAAGCCCGCCGAGAAGAACTACCCAGTCCATGACAAGGAGCTCCTGGCAATGCGGTACGCTCTGATCAAATTGCGAGTGTACTTGCTCGGTGAACAGTCGTTTGCGGTTTACACTGATCACGCATCGCTGCGGACAGCGATGAAGAGCCCTCACTTGTTGCAACGGATGGCCCGTTGGCTGTCCTTCTTCTCCGAGTACAATTTCGTTGTTCACTACAAGCCGAGTAAGAA